GGAGGGCGGTAGCGGGGCCGGGAGGGCCGAGGGGCGCGCGGTAGGGAAGGGGGGGGAGGCGGGATTTAAAGGGGCCGCGCGCAGTTACCGGAGCCGCCGCCGCCTCCGCGCAGCCAACTTTACCTGGGTCTCACCACACTGACAACTACCAGCGGCGCCCGCCCCCATCACGTGAAGAGGGCGCGGGGGCAGGGCCAGCCCGGCTTCACCCACGTGACGAGCGCGGGGGGTGGGGAGGGGCGCTCTCCTGGCAGCCCGCGCATGTGACGCGAGGCGCCGCGTCACGTGAGAGTGCCTTCGCTCTCTGTCACGTGGCGGGGGCGCGGAGCGGCTTCGGCGGCCGCCATGTTGTGCGCCCCCGGGCCGGGCAGGGGATGGCGGGGTCCGGCAGCAACTGGCTCTCCGGGGTCAACGTGGTGCTGGTGATGGCCTACGGCAGCCTGGTGAGCCGGGCGGGCGCGGGGCGGCCCGGGGGGACGGGTCTGACGTGTCCGTGGGGCCCAGGCCCCCGTGGAACCGGGGCCGGGGCCCCTGTGAGGCCGATCCTGGGGTGTCCGTGGGGCCCCTGTGGGGCCGGGCCCGAGGTGTCCGTAAAGCTTTAGTGGGACATGTCGGTGGGGAACTGCCGTCCAGCTGGACTCGGGGCCTTCACGGGGCTGGGCCAGAGTCCCCGTGGGGTCCTGGCATCTGTGGGGCAGGGAGAGGATGTGAGTAGGAGCCTCTGTGGAGGCTGGGCTGTTTGTGGGGCCGCCCCGGGTGTTCATGGAGCTCCTGATGGGCTGAACAGGGATCCCCGTGCTTGCCGGTTTAGAGAGGGTCTGTGCGGCCCTGTGGTTGCTTGGCCTGGAGAGTCCGCAGAGCTGGGAATAGGGTGTCAGTGGGGCTGAGCCCAGGCTGGCTGTGAGACCCCCTGGGGTGCAGCTCAACATGCTTGACCCCCCGTACTTGCTGTGGTCCAGGTCTTCGTGCTGCTGTTCATCTTTGTGAAACGCCAGATCATGCGCTTCGCCATGAAGTCCCGCCGTGGCCCCCACGTGCCTGTCGGACAGCATGCGCCTAAGGTGGGTGCACGCAACCCTGCGGTGGGGATGTGCCCTCCCTCCCCTGTGCCCATGGACCCATCTGTGCCTGGAGGGGCAGGCAGTGTCTGCTTCAAAATCGGATGTTTCCAGGAGCTGCCACCTCAGTGTCGTGATGGGTGGTTGGAGAGGGAGCAGGTTTATTTCAGAGGGGCCCCAGGACTTGACTGTTATCATGTTTGCGATCCCACAAACAAAGTGAGTGCTCTGTAAACAGGTTTTTTTTTTCCCGCTGTGCAGGATTTAAAGGAAGAAATCGACATTAGACTGTCGAGGGTGCAAGACATCAAGTATGAGCCCTGGCTGTTAGCTGAGGACGACAGCAGGCTTCTGCAGCTGGAGACACAAGGTACCCTCTCTTGCTGCATGTCAGTCAGAGGCCACTGGAATCACTGTCCAGTGCTTGTCCTGCTACAGCAGGTCGTTCCCCTGGGACCAAGTTGTGTCTCTGGCCTCTCTTGTTGACTGTCCCATTGCAATGTCGTGTTTGGTGAGCCGACGTGAGATGGTGTCTCTGTACTCTGCTCCTATCTGCTTTCCCCACCTCCCTCCTGCTACCAAGTTTTGCAGAGCTTTCAGTTTGGGTTTTCTCTTTGCCAGGATGCTATAATTACCTGTACAGGATGAAGGCGCTGGATGCGATCAGAACATCTGGTAAGGGCACTCAGGGCAGGAGTGGGATGGGTAGAGTGGAGATAGACTGTGTGTGGAGGAAGTAAGGGTGTGGCGCATTGGCCAGCAGTCTCATGATAAGGCTCAAGGTCCTCATTTGGGAATAGTAGTCACGTATCCCATCCAAGGTTAGCAGCCTGAGGGTCGGCTTTACTCACGTGTTGGGAGCAGTCAGCAAATGGAGGCAGCAGATGTGGGAAGTTTAATTAGCTACCAACTTCTGACATTGTCTGTGTGTGAACACGAGTATTTTTACCTGCGCTTCAGCCGGTTATTTTGTGCCTTTTTATTTTCCAGAAATCCCATTTCATGCAGAGGGCCGGTACCCGAAGTCTTTAATAGGGAAGAACTTCTGTGCCTACCTGCTGGAACTGCGGAATTCCAGCACCTCATTCAAAGGCATCCGCAAAGCCTTGATTGACACCTTGCTGGATGGGTATGAGAGTGCCCGCTATGGCACTGGGGTAAGTGCTGGCACTGCATTGCCTGGCCTCCGCAGCAGCGCAGGGGGCTGTTGCTGCGCTCCAGTCTGATGGCTGGACTGAGGTCGCGCTGTAACTTCGTCTGGGTTATCCACGGTCTTTTCGGTTTGTGTCCAGGCCTTTGGGAAACCGGAATATCTGAAGTACCAGGATGCTCTGAACGAGCTGGCAAACTTGTAAGTGTTACTGCCTGGGTGTGTAGCTGGGGTGCGGTGGTAGCTTCTTGGGCTCCAGCAGCCCACAGTGGAGGTGTGAACAGAGACGGGTTTTGGGGCAAAACCCAGCCTCAGACATGGGCTGTTTATGCCTGTCCGTCCTTCCAGGTTTACTTACTCTTTGCAGCCCATCTGTTAAAGCATTTTTGGGTTTGTTATTTGGTGACAGTCCACGTTCCTGCTTGCACTGGCCGCTTTGAGCCAGGGACCTCATGCGGGCTCCAGGCCTGGCACCCACAGAAGCGCCAGCCTTGGTTTTCAAAACCACAGTGAGCGCCGTCGTCCTGAGGGCAGATCTGCCTTATGTCAGCCAGATGGACGCAATGGTCAAGCGGCTCCTCTGGGGAGGGCAGCAGCTGTGATGGTGCCTCTCCTCTCCCTGCAGGACCAAGGCCCGGGGAGGCAGCAGCCAGTGGCAGCACCAGTCAGCAGCGAAGGACCTCACCCTCTCCCCCGAAGTCTCCAACCCCGCCACCATCCAGGTCACCTACCTGCCTTCCAACCAGAAGAGCAAACGTGCCAAACACTTCCTGGAGCTGAAGAGCTTCAAGGACAACTACAACACGCTGGAGAGCACCCTGTGAGCTGTGCAGGGAGCACTGCTCCAGGGACCTGCCACGAGCAGAGCCCCTTGCTGGGTGCGGCGGGTGTCCTGGGCGGGTTTTGGCCGCAGTTCGCCATGCAGGCAGCGTTGGGAGGAAGTAGCTGCACTCTTGGGTCTCCCTTTTGCACGATGTTGGAGATCGTCGCTCAGTGGAGGCTCCGTCCCATTTGGCTGGTGGAGCTTGGCCCTTGCCAGGAGCCTGTTTCAAAGCAGCACGTCCGTCTGCTGAACCTAGAGGAGATCGGCCCGTGCAGTCTTCTCTGCGGCAGGCCTGGGACACGCTTCAGGCTTGAGGCTTTGAATCCGGCAACAGAGCCCTGGCCCTGTGAATAAACTGATCAGCTTTAGCTTATTTATAAAAGACATGGATCCCAGCCAGCGCTCTCATCCACCTATCCTCTTTCCCTGTGATGGCCAGCAGGGGCTGATAGTGTTTGTCCATCCTGCCTGCGTGGGTCTTGGGCTCTGAAGCTGCTCGTCTTTCTTTCCAAAGGGTGAATGCTCTTCTCCCTGTGGCACCATCGCTGCCTGCTGCTCTCAGCCAGGTGTGGCCAGCCTGCCTGTGTGCCCAGGCCATGCACCAGGGTGCCTGGATGGAGTGTAAATAGTTTGGTGGCCAGTTCTTAGCCACTGTGGCTGAGGTGCCTCTTCAGGCTGCAGTTTCTATTCTTTCTCCTGCAACTGGGCATTTGGGGACGTCTCGGGCAGACAAATACCAGCTTTGAACGTCCTGTCTGTCCTGCCAAGGGGGTGTTTCCTCCCACTCTCACCAGCGCCTCGTGTGCCAGCGGCTGCCAAGCCCCCGGGGGCAAAAGCTCGCACCCCCAACTTGACGTCTGTGTCCTGCCAGGCCAATGGCAGTGCCCACTGCTCACTAGTCACCACAGCGTGTACCATGTGGGATGGGGACCCCTGCGCCTCGCCTAGGCCTCTGCACTCTTTTTAATTGCTGTTTAATAAAATGACAGTTAACCCCAAGCAGGATGCATGCTGTTGGCCTCTGACGGCAGGGAGCCCTTCCCTGCCAGATCCAGGGCTGTGTCTGTCCCTGCGCCGCTGCCGTGGTAACGGGGATACTGTTAACGACATGGCTGGTGCAGGGGGTGGTTGTGGGGTCCCTGCGGAACTGGCCATGGCAGTGGCAAGCAGCCCGACCCCCTCGCTCTGGCAGGAGAAGGTAGGATGGGGCAGGGGCTGGGAAGGTGGCTGTTCTGGGGCTCCTGGGAGCAGTTGGGGACAACATCCCCCTTGTGCGGGTTAAACCGTGGACCTCCAAACGTGTTGCTTTGGTTGCAGGTCCTGGCAAAGGGGAGTGCCTGCGGAAGGCTGCTAGAGAGGTAGAGCCAGCAAAGGGAGCTCCAGGGTCTGAACCCCCTGTGCTGGGGGGCAGCAGGCGAGGGGGAGCCCTCGCATGGGGCGAGCTGGGGCTCAGCCCTGTGGGTGGGCTGGGGCAGGGCGGCAGGCGCTGCTGTTCCCCCAGTGCCCTGTCCTGACCACCCCATGTCCCCACAGCTGTGGGCAGGTGGCTGGGGGACACCCGCAGTGCTGGGAGAGGATCTGGGCCGCGGCCTGCAGGGCGCTGCAGCAGAGCATGGAGTCGGAGCTGCGCCTCGCTGTCCAGGAGCAGACGATGGTGAGGCCACATATGGGTTGGGCACAGCCGGGTGCACCAAGCCCTGTGCTGCCAGGGTCGGGTGTCCTCCTCATCCTGTTCCAGTACCACATCCTGGGGGACGATGTCTCTCAGTGCTGGCAAGTCACAGGGGTGGGGCGTTCAGCACCAGCTCATGTGCCCAGCAGGTCCGCCGAGCCGCCCTGCACTGGCTCCTCCAGGATGAGCGCCAGCAGCAAGAGCAGGAGCTGCACCAGCTTGGGAAAGCCTTCTACATGAAACGGCTGTGAGTGCCTGACCTGGTGGGCTCAGCATAGGCCGGGCATCGCCCAGCTTCCTGGCCAAGAATAAAACACGTTGAGCAAGACAGGATCTGTGTCTGCTGCATGCAAAGACATGGGACAGCCCCTGGGCAGAGGTGGAGGGAAGATGCAGTCCAGCACAATCCCTGCAGCTGGGATCTGGCAACGTTGCCCACAAACCTACACGTGCCAGATGCTGCACATGTGGTCCCGGCCATGGCCACACCAGGAGATGGCAGCACAGCCAGTGTGCCTCCACTAGCCCTGCATGCTCCGTGGCTCTGTCCTGCCCATGCCATGCTGGTGTTGGCTACACAATCCTGTCTCCTGTAGCACGGTGCTCCTGGCTGTGCGGCACAACTCTGCAGCAGCAGGAGAGGAGCCCAGCTGGGCTGGGTGCGATGCTCCCTGGCCCCACTCACCATGTGGGCACCCCTGAACCACTGTCAGCTCCCCGACTCGGGGCCATGTCTCCCGCCTCCCATCCCTGCTGCCTGTGCCTGACCTTGGTGTCTCCCAGCCCCAGGGCCCATCAGTGCCTGTCCTGGGTCTGCTTATTGACAGGGCTGGGGGCCGCCAGGCCGGCACCCCCTGCCCACGGCCCTTCATTAGCTTGGCTGTCGGGTTGCATCACATCAGCCACCACTGCATGCATGTTCCCACCCAGCTCCTGGCACTGTGCTGCTGCCACGTGTGTCCCTGCCATCCGTGCTGCCACCCTTCCCATGTGGCCCTGCCGCCCCGCTGCCACCCCCATGGGGCTGGAGCCCCTGGTCACCCAGCCCAGGCAGGCAGCAGGGCAGGGTCTGTGCCCCCATCCTCCTGTGGCACTCGGGGCTCTGGCTGCCCCGTGTCCTGCCACACTGGTCCCTCAAAGTTTGGGCCCCCACAGAGCCCCCAGTGCTGTTCCCAAGGTCGGTGCGTCCCGCTGCAGCAAATCACTGACATGGTGTGGGGAGACGCATGCCCCCAGCACCTTGAGACCCCATGTGCCCTCATGGCTGGACGCCGCCAGCCAGGCCCCAATGGCCACCCCAGAGCTGGTCAGGGGTCCTGCCTTTTTCACCCACCTGTGCCTCCACATGAGGGATGGGTCAGGGTGACAGGCGGTTGCCTCCTCTGGCTGCCTCACGGAGGGAATGCTCCTGTGGACACGGGGTCCCAAGGGCTCCCCAAAGTGAGGGGACAGGGACACAGCCCTGCTGGGGCTTGTCCTTGGGCAGGGTCATGCATAGCCCCTCAGTGGTGCAGAGCCCGCTGGGATGGGGCCGGCTCCCCGGTATTGATGACCCTGCTAATGATGGTGGAGTGTGACCAGGGGCAGGAGCAGGCGGCGCAGGGCCATCGACCCATATCGACCAGCAGCGCTCAGCGGCAAGGGCGCGGGGGTCCGCCGAGGGGCAGGGGGATGTCGATGGGTGGTAATTAATGGGAATGAGGCCATGCGCGCAGGGCCAGGGCGCTCGCTGGCCACATCCCCCCGCCGGGTGCAGTTGAACGCAGTTATAAACGGCGGCTGGGCGGCCCCTGAGCCAGACCGCTGAGGAGCCCCCAAGCCAGCCCAGGTAAGGCAGTGATGGATGTAGGGTCCCCTTGGCCCCGGGTGTGCAGGGACAGGTGGGCAGCGCTGCCTGCTGTGCCGTGCCATGCCATGACGTGCCAGTCCATGCCATGCTGTGCTATGGTGTGCCATGGCCTGCCATGCCATGCCATGCCATGTGACTGTGCCTGCACTGCTCTGCTCCAGCTTCGTCCCCACTGCAGGATGCCTCCTGCTCGGGCACCGGATACCAGAGCATCCCAATGCTGATGCAGCTGCCCAGGCAGCCTCCAGACGCTGAGGCGAGGCCGGGGTGCTGCCGCCGTGGTGCCCTGGGGAGTCCTGCTCAGGGAAATAGCGAGGAGTTAATCCCCACCTCCAGCTCTCCACCTCTCCTTCTCTCTTTCTTTTGCAGGAAGCTGAGCCCCGTGTCCTGTCTGCCTTCGCCTGCCCCTGCCTCTGTCTGATATGTTTGATATTAGGTTGTTTTATTGGAAAACCAACTAAATATCAAACATATTCTTACAGCGCCAGGGACACCCAGCGCTGACCCGGCAAGATGCTGCCTGCTACCTCCTGCGGGCAGGGGGGAGCACAAAGGGTCCGTGCCCCTTCCCGTACTCCCTGCCTGCCCTCTCGCTGCTGCAGTAAAACCCATCTGCCCACACCGCACGCCCGCCTCTGCGGGGCTGGGGAGAAGGAGCTGGGAGCTGCCATCGCTGCGGGCTGGCGGAGATTTGGGATGGTGGCATGGTCAGTGCTCAACACCTGTCCTCCTGCTTACGCCTGGGATGATCCCAGGACAAAGGCATGTGGCCCTGTGCCTACCACTGGCTCCGCTGCCCTGGTGCATGGGGTTATTTATGGCTACCGGGGCATGGAGGCACAGCGGCTGCTTGGGGCCCTTTGTAGGCACTGTCCCTTCTGCTGCCCTGCCTGGGGAGTGAGGAGCTGTCACCAGGGTTGGTCTCCGTCTTCTGGGTCCCTGTGTGCTTACCCCCTCAGCCCCCAAAATCTGTCCCTGGATGGGACAAGTGGGTCTCCCCCATGGGAGATCCCGACCTGGCTTGCAGGGCCAGTGGGACCTTGGAGCTGGCGCGAGGAGGCTGCTAATCCCCCAGCTGTGTAGGAAGTGCCACTGCTCTCCCTGAGAATTCCTCTCTGTGCCTGGGGAATTTGCTCCTCCAGCTGCCAACAGCATCTTCTGCCTCGCCACCAAGCACCAGCACGGCTGGAGCTGGACTCGGGGCTCAGTGGACTCCCTGGGGGCTCTTCCCTGGGTGTCAGGCTTGGCTCCCCCCGCTGCTCCCTGCTGTGCCAAATAATTCAGGCCAGGGGCTGCTGCTAAGCCCCTGCTCTTAAAATAGCACCGGGCTGAGCTTGCCCTTTTCCATGCCACCCCCGGGGACGGGTAAATGTCAGCCCGGGGGCCACCAAAACATCCCAAGCCTGGTGGGGTGCAACCCAGGGGCGCTTCGCTGCCAGTGTCGCATGGACCCAGCTCAATGTCCCGACCATGTCCCGAGGGAGTGCCGAGTGGGAGCATGGTGTCCCTGTGATGCTGGCCACGGTGTCCCATTGCATGGGGTGGGTGGGCAGCCAGGACAATCTAAGACCCTCTGCTTGCAGACCTGCCGCTGCTTTTTATAACTGCCCCAGCTGTCCTCATGAGCCCAAATAAGGTTGCGGCCGCCTGGACCCCCCCAGGGCAGACAATGGGTCCTTAGCACAGACTTTTTGGGAAGGTGGGGAGGCAGCTCAGCCCAAGAAAGGCAAAGCCCCCCCACCGGCCAGCAGGGCAGAGTTGATAAACCAGGCAGCGGGGCGGCAGGCAGCACTGCTGCTCTGCCTGCCCCTTGCCCGTCCTGCTGCCCACTGCCCCGCCGCCAGCGCCCGTGTCCCACCGAGGATGGAGGCCATCAAGAAGAAGATGCAGATGCTGAAGCTGGACAAGGAGAATGCCCTGGACCGGGCGGAGCAGGCAGAGGCTGAGCAGAAGCAGGCAGAGGAGCGGAGCAAGCAGGTAGGGGGGGTGGCAGAAGCCCCCAGTCCAGGAATGTTTGGGGGGATGGCTTCTCCCCGTGATGGACCACGCTGAGCCCAGACCCAACACAGACTGCGGCAAGAGGTTCAAGGGTGTGAGACCTGCCACTGTCCCACAGCTCGGGGGCATCCTGAGAGCTGCCCAGGGCTCAGCCCCTGCCAGCTGGTGGCATGTGGGACAGAGATGGACACTGTGAGGCAGATGGGGATGGGGTGGGATGGGGCAGGAGGGATGTCGTGGAGCAGAGCTGAGCCTGGGATGGGGTAGGCAGGGCTCTCCTGCCGTGTGGGGGTCCAGAGGGGTGTCCACCTGCAGTGACTGCCGCTGCCCTTCCAGCTGGAGGACGAGCTTGCCGCCATGCAGAAGAAGCTGAAGGGGACAGAGGATGAGCTGGACAAATACTCCGAGGCCCTGAAAGATGCCCAGGAGAAGTTGGAGCTGGCAGAGAAGAAGGCGGCAGACGTATGTATGGGATGCAGGGTGGGAGCTGGGTTGGCTGCCCTCCCCTTGTCACCCTCCCGGTAGGACTGCAAGCCCTTCTCTGCAGCCTTGGGGATGCAGGAAGGTCCCTGTCAGTCTTGGTGCACTCCTGGCAAAGCTGTACATGTGTCTGGGAGCAGAGAGTGACCCCAGAAAGGACACACCCTGGGGGGCCACCCATGGCCATGCAGGGGACAGAGGGATGCTGGCAGGGGCTGGTCCCAGATTCTTCTTGGGCGAGGATGTCCTGGGTAGCCTGGGAGCAGGGACAGAGCACGCTTGGCAGCCAGGACCCCTGAAGCAGGACATGAGGACCCCAAGCTGAGGACAGAGTGACAGCAGCTGGTGACAGCCAGCAGTCCCTCAAGCGCAGGACTTGGGGTCCACGCATCTCCCCAGGAAGCTCCGAGTCACAGTTGTTGGCAGAGGAGCCAAGCTCCAGAGGAGGAGGGAGCCCTTGTCTCCCCAGGCAGGCAGAGGCTGCGTGGGCAGCGTGACAACTGCACAGCCCAGCTATTGTTGGCTGCTGTTTCCAGGAAAACAATGGCATGACCGGTGCAGGGTTTCACTGGCCGGCTGCTCTCCCGGCCATCATGTGGCACAGCATCTGGCCCCACTCATCACCTGCCGGGACCTGGCAGTCAGAGGGGCTGTCACCCCATGGGGCTGCGATGTTGCAGGGGTTGAGTGTCAGTGTGTGGGAGCCAGGAGAAAGTCCTCAGTTCCTCAACAAGCCCAGTTCTGATGTCCGGCCCAGAGGCAAGAGCCTTTCCCTTCTGCTACACGACTGATGCCGGGCCATGGGGAAGCGCTCCAAGCCCCGGCACAGCGCCTGGGCTGGCTCTTGCCTGGCTTTGAACTGGGGTCCAGGGTGTAATCAGGAACTCCCGAGCTCTCTCTGAGTACTGGGCGGTTCATCAACCCTGTGGCTTTGCTTGTGGCTTCCTGTCCCAGCCCCAGCCGAGTGTGGCGGCAGCGCCGGCCCTGCACTGGAGCTCAGCACGTTCCAAGCACCGCGTTGCAGAGCTCTGGGGAGCCCTTTCCCTTCCTCGCATGCTTCTTCTCTCCCTTCGCTCCCTGCTGGCATTCTCAGTCTCCCTGCTGTCACACCACATCGCTGAGGACCACATCCCCACTCGCTTCACAACTTGTTAATCCTTTTCTGTGCATTTGGAGCTCCCTTTTTCTGCCCACTACCTCCTAGGGTGGCTCTCGGGGCTCCCCTGGTTTCACACTGGCTCGGGGAAGCAGAGCGGTGGGAGGAGGGATTTCGCACCCCAGAGCGTTGGATGTGCAGAGCTGTATCCCAGCTCCTTCCAGCCAGCAGGAGCGCGCAAGGTCAGGCCCTTTTGGTTGCCAGCTCATCTCTGGGGGACATGCCAAGCCATTTGGCTGGCCAAGTGCGTGCCAGCCCTCTCTGACCTGGCAGACGCAACCCTGGGGCACGTGCCTGCCCGACTGCCGAGGTTTTTAGGAGGCGGCACAGGGGCAGCAGCCCAGTGCCCCTTTTCCTTCTATTCATGTGCCCGAAGCCCTGCCAAACGGGCTTCGTGGTGAGTGAGGGCAGTGACGGTTCTTGGTTGTGTTTTTATTGAGCTCTAAGGGGTCTCCGTGACCCTTGCCGCACAGAGGAACGCCGCTCTCAGCAGCGTTTTCTGCCCCAGCTGAGACCAGAGAGTTTTAGCAACAGCTAAAGCTGTCGCAACAGTGGGTTTGTGGAGGGGGAGCCTGGCACCAGTGCTCAGCACTGCAGCTCGGCGGTGCCAGCAAACGCCAGAGCCCTGTTCCGGGGGAGGAAGGTGGGAAGCATGATCTGCCGCAGGGCTGCGGGGGCTCGCTAGGGCTGGAACGTGTGTGGGGAGAGGCGGTACATGAGCTCAGACCCCGGGAATGCGGCGGCCCGGCAGTGCCCGTATAAGGCCCGCGGGGCTGAGGGACAGGGCGGCCCCGGGGCTGCCCCAGCCCCATGGCGCTCCCGGGGCCGCACAGCCGCCGGACCGCGAGGGGTACATGCCCCGACGTGGGGCAGAACGCGAAGGCCCGTGTGGGGCAGGCTTCCAGGACTGTGTGGGGGCAAGGCCCAGGCCCTCGGGCCCCTGTGGGGCAGGTCCCAGCGTACCCAGCCCACCGTGGGGCAGGTCCCGGTACCCCCTCTCCCGCCTGGGCCGCCCCGGTGTCCCCAGGCCGGGCGGTTGCTCTCTGTCTCCACGGCAACGCGGGCGGGGGAAGTGACGTCACTTCCCGGGCGGTGGGGCCGGGGCGGCGGGTTCCGGTATTTCAGGGCGGGGCCGGCGCAGCGCGGATCCGCGGGACGGGACGGGCCGGGACGAGAGGATGGCGGGGGCCACCACCATCGAGGCGGTGAAGCGCAAGATCCAGGTGCTGCAGCAGCAGGCGGATGACGCCGAGGAGCGGGCCGACCGCCTGCAGCGGGAGGTGGAGGCCGAGCGCCGCAACCGCGAGCAGGTATCGCCGGTGCCGCGGGCCGGGCTGCCGTGTGGGTCGGCCCCGCCGCCGGCGGCCCCGTGGGGAGGGGGTACCCCGCAGCCGGCCGTGCCGACCACCCGGGGGTGGGGGGTAGAGCCGGGGCGGGCGGCGCTCCCGCGGGTCTGGCGGTGTCGAGGGCCGCTCCGGACAGCGCCGCGGGGCCCGGGGCTGCGAGAGCATCGGTGCGATCCCGGCCCGGGTCTCCGCGTTCCTGCGTGGCCTTAGCTCGCAGCGATGCGGGCCCCGCGCCGCTCGCCCTGGGGTCTGCTGGGGCCGGGGGTCCCTCCCCGCCGCGTGTCCCGTGGTAGCGGCTCTCGCTGGGGTCCCCTGGACCCCGGCCGTGGTGCCTCGGCCGGTGCCTCGGAGTGACTGGAGCTGGAGGGAGCCGGCGGATCGCTCTTTCATTGTTACCGGTCTCCTGAGCCAGCCCGGAGCTGAAAGCGGCTGGTGGCTGCTGGGGAGGGCGCCCGGTCCCTGGTCGGGTTCCCTGGCTGTCTGCTTGCTCCGAGCTGCTGGAGAGGAAGGGAGGAACCCGGCCATCTTGTCTGGCCCAGTGTTGCAAGCACAAAGGTGTGAGTAGCTTTGGCATGTACTGATAAAATGGAAGTGATCTCACTCGTGATGGTGCCGATGCAGGAGCTGAGTGGAAAACTCCCTAGGCTCTGCATCCTGCCCAAATCCCAGCGAGCAGGGATCTCTGCTGCCTGGGGCAGGCAGCCCCCAAGACCTGCAGCCTTGTGAGAGCGTTGGGGGCAGGCAGGGACTGGGCTGGGATCGCTTGGAGGGAAGGAAGGGCCAACCATGGCAGAATCTGAGCTGGTGAGTGCTTGCTCTGACAGCTCTGTCAGGCTGGGGAGGCAGGCAAGGCTGGCGATACTGTGGGGACGGCGGACAGTGTGACACGGAGCAGGTCCTCAAGGGTGACTGTCTCAGATCTGAGCATGGCTCTCTGCAAATTTGCGCAGTGACTTTGCTGATGAGTCTGTTCAAATGAAGCTGAGGCTTTTCCACCCACAGTGCCCAGGTCTGAGGTCTGTGATGAGTGGTGTGGTGCTGCTGCTGTGGGACTGATCAGGCTTTGCTACTGAGGCTGATGGCAGAAGCTTCTGCTGTACAGTGGGACGAGGCCACTCCCAGACCTCATCTGGGCTCTTTCTTTGCAGCCACATAAGGAATTCTCTTGCAATAGCGGTGTTGTCATGGGAACGTGTGTGTTTTTCCCAGCTTGCTGGAGCCTTGTGATAGGGGAGAGAACCAGTGCTCCCAGTGTAGTGGTGTCTTGTACTCGCCCTGTGGCCTGGCCCTTGGGTCCTGAGGAATGTTACTATTAGATCTCTGTGGCCTGGGGAAGCGATGGTGAGCCTTGAAGGCTGAGGCAAGCTCTGTCCTTTGCTTACAGGGCTCCCGGTAGCTCCCTGACTCAGAGCTGTCTTTCTGAAGGAGGCACAGAGTAATGGGAATGTGCTGCTCGGCAGTGGGGCTGCCTGGAAGTGTCACCCCCATGCTCTGGGGAAGCCTGACGGCTTCAGCTGTATCCTGTGAGGAGAAGCAGAAAGCAAAGTGTAAGGACCCTTCTGCAGAGGGAGAGAGGCAGTTCCTTAAACGCAAGGGTGGTTTTTTTGGGTGGGTTAAGGCTGCCTGCAGGAAGTCAGGGCTAGATGATGTGGTTCAGGGGGTCAGGAAACAGAGGCTTGCTGTGCTGGTGTGTCTCAGTCCCCTGGGAGAAGGAGGAGGCTCTCCACCTTGACAGCTTGTTGCCTCTTTAATAGGCAAAAGACGTGTGTCAAGCAGTCTCCTTCCCAGTTCTGTTTAATATATCATTTTGTTCCTCTTTGAGCAGAGCACTTCCTTCTCTGGAGGAACATGCTGGCAGGGCTGGCTCTGTGGCAGCCTGCTGCAGCACTGCCTTGTTTGAGCATCAAAGTGTTGTGGGCTTCCCTGGTGTAGAGCAGGGCATGCCAGCGTGGGAGCTCCTCTTCAACTTGTGTTCTCACAACCGGGTCTTGAAACATGCTGGGGAGGGGGGGACAGGATGGGGGGTCGGGGTGTGGGGGGACGGACACCACCGAGCACCTTGCTGCCAACTGGGGCAGGGGGGAGAGCTCGGACAGCCGCTCCCAGGAACTGAAGGTGATTTGTGTTGGGCCCTGCTCTAACACTGGCTTCTTTCATCGCTCTGCTCCTCCCTCTTTGGGCATGGTTAGAAGCAGCATGTCCTTGCAGGCTGCTTTGTTATAAGTAGCTGGGATATTTCATATATGCCTGGCATGTGCCTGTGCCTAGATCTCTGTAGAAGATCACAGTGCTGCCCTGAAATGGCTGCAGCCCTGTCCATCTTTGTACCAGTGCAGTAATCCTGCTGGAGAGCAGGATTCTGGGTTCCCTCGGGGTGGCTCAGGTGGGGTGTTAGCGTCCCCAAAGTGTCTAGGCTTCCCCCCAGGCTCTGGTCAGGGTTGATGCAGATTGGGCTCATAAGCAGATGCCTTGTGGTCTAGCAGTGGTGGGATAGCAGTGCTGCTGTAACAGGCCTGGCTGGAGGGGGTGTGATGATGGCTTCTGATCTCTGCTGATTCATTAAAGCCTCGGTCACTTTTGTGGTCATGCTTCTGGCAAATGCATGGCGCCTGCGGGCTCTTGGCAATTTCACCAGCTCCTGGCATGTATGACTGAACTGAGGTGGCTGCCTCAAGACTGGATGAGGCTTTTGGTCTTTCTCTAGGTTATTAGTGAATTGCTGGGAGGAAGAAAGCCTAGAGCATAGCTGGCCCTCCAGGCTTGAGCTGCTGGGGTTGTGGGCACTACAGCAATCAGCTGAGCCCTGCTGCTGCCCCAGGTCATGGCAGCGCTGTAGAAAGCCTAGCCTGCCAGCACCTTGACACAACTTGGCAGACCTCTGAACCTGAAGCTGTTAATCTTTCTCATGTTGCTGATGAGAGGGCTTGGTTCAAGCAATGCTCATGTCCAGATCACATGAATAAACCGACTTTGTGCTAAATGGTAGCTGTCAGAGCTCTGGTGTGGTGGATAAATAGGACTGTGATTGATGGCCTGGCAGGATTACAGCAGCTGCAGAGAAGGCCCATTAGCGTAAGTCATGTACTTAGTGTTTATGGCTTAAACTGTCATGTCAGCTCAAGCTGACAGGCGAGAAACCTGCAGGATGACTGCTGCATGGACAAAGCATGTGTGTGTGAAATGTCGTGAAGCTTAACGTGCGTGCAAGCGTATGGGAGTGCAGCCTCTGTAAGAAAGTGGATAAAGCACTCTGGCTTTGTTTTGGCTTCCCGTGTGCTGCTGCTGACCTGAAGGCAGACTTCAGCTGCCCTGCACAGACTGCTAATCTGCCACAGACTTGAGTCACCCTCATCTGCTCCCTCTAGGCTGAGGCAGAAGTGGCATCTTTGAATCGTCGTATCCAGCTGGTAGAAGAAGAGTTAGACCGAGCCCAGGAGCGCCTTGCCACAGCTCTGCAGAAGCTGGAAGAGGCAGAGAAGGCTGCAGATGAAAGTGAAAGGTGAGCAAGGGCTGCTGCTCTCACTCCGTCAAACATATCTGACGTGTTCCTGACTGAGGACCCAGTGCCATCAACCTCTTGGGCTTCCTAGGGGGTGGGAAGTATATACCACATCAAGGCTGGGTGTGGGAGTTGGTGCCCACTTATGCAGAGCAACTAAAACAATGCTGTTGGCCTTGAGTGAGTATCTTGGAACCTGAGGCTAAGGAGGGAGTAAGTGTTGTGTGGAATGTGTGCTACCATGCATCCCTACCTCCAAGGGAGGGGAAATAAGTGAGTTCTGGGACACTGTTGACTTGTAAAGGTGGCTGCTGGTGGGGAAGCCTCTCTTCCTGCTGGCTCTGCCAGCATACTCCCTTCTGGCAGACATCCCCTGACCTGGCAGTGTGATTCAAGAGGGGAGCAGTCCACTTCCAGTTGGCTCATGTACTTCATCGATGCACATGCTGAAGTGAGCAGCCTGACCCAGCTGATGTCCTGCCATAAAGACAGACTTGGCTCTTCCTGCATTCCAGCCTGGAAAGTGCTTGGCTCGGCTGTGTGAAGTCCCTAAGACAGCCTGGCTTGTTCTTCTTGGCAGTACCACATTTCCCTTGGTCCAGGAGCCCAGTGAGCTACTGGAGTAATGCACCAAGGAACAGTTAATTCTGAGCAATCAAGGTTGCTGTATTTGCATCAGCCCAGTGGTGCCTGCCTTCCTGTGCAACCCTCTGCACTCAGAGGTGTGGTGGCTCATAAGGAAGCAATGTGGTCCTGCAGGGGCACTGTTAATGCTCTGAAAGTCATTATACTGCTGGCTTGTACAGGATTGTTTTATACATCTCCCCTCCCTGTGCTTTCTTTTTGGCAGAGGCATGAAAGTCATTGAAAACAGAGCTCTGAAGGATGAGGAGAAGATGGAACTGCAGGAGATCCAGCTCAAGGAAGCCAAGCACATTGCAGAGGAGGCAGACAGGAAGTATGAGGAGGTGAGACCCTTGGATGCTCTAGTACAGTTGACCCTGGCTGGGAGAGATGGCTCCTCTTCCTGCTGCTGACAGGGCTTTCCTCAGCAAACCTGGGAGAGAGCCTGGCTCTCAGCAGAGCTACCTCAGTATTCCCCTTAGCCAAAAGACTCTGGCAGCTCCAGTGATGCCTGCAGGCATTCCCTTTACTGCCTTGCACAGCCTACAAGAACAGAATAATCTTCCTTCCTCTTAACTCTGATTCTCCCTTCCAGGTGGCTCGGAAACTGGTGATCATAGAAGGAGATCTGGAACGTACTGAAGAGAGAGCTGAGCTTGCAGAGTCGTGAGTAATCTGCTCACATGTAACTGGCACATCTACTTTTGCATGGGAACTAACACAGCATTTCTAACCTTGTTACACAAGGCCTGAAGCACAGGGTGGGTTTAGATCCTCAGATGAAAGAGTTGGAAGTGCTCTCCTGCTTGGAACAGGATTAGGTCTACTGAGGATGTGGAGTTTGTGAAGACGTGATTTGCCTTGTAGTGGAGATATTCTGCCCCTTTGCATGGAGGGACTCCCTGGTTAGTGAGGCCGGAGATTCCTTCTGCACTCAGTATTCACCAGCACTGCTTTGTATTTATGGTCCCAAGATCCTTACATGTTGCTACGGGGCACATGAGTGCACAGTGCTTGTCCTAAAGTGGCAGAGGCCTTGCAGGCTGGGACCTGAAGTGGCATGCGGGATGTCCAAGGGCACAACTGTGGCTGATGTTGGTCTTTGGCCTCTTATTAAAATGTTTGCAGTAACCACTACAGACTTCTGCACTGCTGAGCAGCAAGCTGGACTTCCTCTGCTTGGAGCAGACACAAACTGTGGTGCTTGGGCTACTTTCACATGTCTGGATGCTTTAGCTGATTCTCGAGGAGTTGGTCAGGGCCTTTCTGTACTCTGGGCCTTGTCTAACAAAGTTAGTGTGTACGCAGCAGTAGCACCATGCTTCCTGCCCAGACTTGCATGTCATGACCGTGACTTTTTTGTGTTTTTCTCCTACCCCCTTTTTTGCTCTGTGGTATTGTGCTATTGGTGCTCCTTTTGACCCTTGCCCCCATCTGGCTTGTGCCATCGTGTGACCATCACTAACAGTCGTTGCCGGGAGCTGCAGGAGCAGATCAGAGTGATGGACCAGAACTTGAAGTGTCTGTCTGTTGCTGAAGAAAAGGTACTAACCTTTCCCTTCTCGAACCATTAAACCAGAACTCTTGTGGTCCTCTTGCTATGCTCCTTTCCTCAGCTTAACTGCGTCTTTCTCTGTCCTGGAATGTTCTGTCCTCTCTGCCCATAAACATTCTTGCCTGAGTGGTGGTGGCTGTCCATCTGTCTGTCAGAACAGCTTCACTCCTTACAGCAAACTAAACATGTGGACACAGATTTCTGCTGGACCTGGAGTCTTCAAGTAGAAACTGCATCTCAGCTGCTCAGCTCAGTGCCCTGCACATGTGCTGGCAGAATACTTAAAATATGAACTTGGAGGTGGGAAGGGAACTTGCTTTCCGCACAAGTGCCTCAAAGCAGGGTCCCATCCAGTCTGATAGCAGACCGTCTCCTAAGGAACTTCCTGGTCTTTCCTGCACATGGATTCACTTCTTGTCTCTCCTGTCTTTTCCTCCCACTTCTTCTTTTCCTTTTTCTCCCCCTTTTCTTTACGAAACCCCACAGTAAATGTTCCGAGCTGGAAGAAGAGCTGAAGAATGTCACCAACAATCTCAAGTCTCTTGAGGCTCAGGCTGAGAAGGTAGGGCTGCTTGTCCAAGGGCCAGAAACATTTCTGTTTTGCTAGGAGGGTGTGTGACAGCAGAGCACCCACTGGGATGGAAATGACACAACTGCAGCCTTAAGCAAGCAAGGAGAACTGTGCTTGCTCATGCAAGGGAGCTAACGGATTTCAGTGCAGGGCTAATGTTGACTGTTGAAGCTGGGAGTGTGGAAGTCTGGCTGCCCTTCCCTGCCTTGGGGCAGACTTTATCAGCCAAGATGTTTATGCTGCTGGGACAAGAATTTTTCTGGGCCCAAGTTTGTGTTACGTGCATGGTGTGGGACTTGCTGCCTGACCCAGTTCTGTTGGACTAGGGTAGGGATGTGAACAGTTCCCAGTTGAAAGTTTCTGTGGACATGTGCACTGCAGTGAGGAGTTTAAGTCCCCCTCTGTAGCTGTGGGCTCCCTGGAGTGGGAGGTACCTGGGGCTGCTGAGGGCTGATGATTGCTGACTCTTCTCCTTTTCCTCAGTACTCTCAAAAAGAGGATAAATATGAAGAAGAGATCAAGATCCTGACTGATAAACTCAAAGAGGTGAGTGACTGTGTTGGGATGGCCCAGCTGGGTGAACTGACCTCAGCTTGACTGGGGAGAGATGTGGAGCATGGGAGACTTCATGTTCTCAGGCTGATGCCTTTGTAGTCCTTTGCTGTATCCCAAAGCTGTTGTACTAACTGGCTCGCTTCTGTCTGGCAGGCGGAGACGCGTGCTGAATTTGCTGAACGGTCTGTAGCCAAGCTGGAGAAGACCATTGATGATTTGGAAGGTACATTCTGGGGATGGGAAGCCAAAGAATATGTGGTGAGGAGTGGGGAGCTGAGGAAGGCTATCTCCCAGATAGCTGCAGAGTGGAGACACTGCTCTGCTCCTCAATACTCAGAGTATGACCTAACTTGGCCTCCAAGGTGAGGCTTGGTGCCTCTGGGCTCAAGAGTTGTGCACCATGTATCTACTCTGTGCAAACAGTTCCCTGGCTGCACTGCGGTAGGTCTCAAGCTCTTGATCCAAACACCTTGCTGTATCTGACTGATAGTGACAGATAGAGTGGCTGGTGTATCTTGGTTGTGATGTCCTCAGGAATGTAACTGGATTCCTATGCTCCAGCTTAACCAATTTTAAGGAATGGTGTAGGAAAAAAAACGCCTGAACCCAACAGGAATTGGTTACAATAACATACTTGTGTGCAGAATCTCATGCACATGGCTGTCTGCTGCAGACAGTGTTGCTGCAAGTCAACCACAGTAGTCAGTGGGTCTTGAAACAACCCCCATGAAGACTCAGGCTCCCCAGTGTCAGTCCTGGTTCAAGATTAAATCACCAGAAGCCCTGTCCATGCAGTGTGGTGGTCAGCCTGTGCCAAGGATGGGTTCCTTTCCTCCTCTTGGTCTGGGTTTGACAGTACTTCAGGAGCACTCCTGAGGCCAGCCATCACAGAATCCTGCGTTTCCTCAAGACATGGAAGGAGAAAGTTCCAACTGTCTCCCTTAAATCTGGGGCTGTGGCCAGATTCTTCTGTGGATAGCTGTGCTTGGAGTGGTGGTGCTGGTAAACCAAAACTGTTGCAGGCCTCCTACCTCGACCACAGCATGTGCCTTTGTGGTCTTTTAGTGCCAGGTCTTGGCGATTCAAAGCCATGTCTTACTGCCTGAAATCACTCATGAGGTTTTTTTATCTAGAAATAGCAATGGTGTCAGCTGAGCTGTTCCAGAACTGTAGCCAAGCAGCAATCTGAGCCACCTCATGATCCAGGGCAAGCTTTTATTGGGAACGGCACAAACTCCTCCAAATCCCTGCATGCTTCCCTTGAAACATGTTGATCGAGAGTTGGCTCTAGTCTCCAGCCTTGCTGCTGAAGTGACCTAGTTTATGACAACTGACAAAGTTCTCTGGGCTCTGTCAAGTTGTTAACAACATTACCAGCTGTACTGTAGCCTAGGCAGCCAGAGCTGGGAGAAGTCTGTGCCAGCTCTGTGCAGTGCTCAAGGAGTGCATCAGGGCAAGTTTTAGGACTGCCTCCTCCCCTGAAGGTGGGTGATCTGCCTGTCTGCTCCATTATCTGATGGAAAACAGAGGTGTGGCCTGTCTGTTTGGCTTGTCCTGCCTAGCTGTGTACTACAGAATGGGAATTCCCTCTGCCCAGGGCTATTATGTGACTGACTTCTCCCAAGCTGTTTTTTGTATTGAGACTGAAGTTGAGAACAAAGCACCTCAATTGATCTATGCCTTCCTTAGATGTAGCAAGCTTCTCCCTAAGTGGATGGAGTTGCCCTTCCCTGCTGCTCCTCCTGTTAGTGGTTCTTGCTGACCTAGCTGGGCAGCTTGTTCTCACAAGCTGATGCAGCTTGGGTTCTTGGCTCTACTCCCCTTGGAGCTGGCTTGTAATCCTGGAAGGCACTCGCTGGTCAGACTGTCCTCAGGCTGTTGGAACCCTCCTGTTCATTGTCAGGAACTAATATGGAGTTGTGATGGCTCCACATCTAACTTCATTTTCTTCTGTTCATGAGTCCCATACTGCTTTTCCTGCCCCAGGGTGTTGGAAGAACTCCTCTACCTTCCCTCATTGTTTCCCTTTTGTTCTCCTCCTAAACATCTTCTAGATGAGCTCTATGCCCAGAAACTGAAGTACAAAGCAATTAGTGAGGAACTGGACCACGCCTTGAATGACATGACTTCCATGTAAATATGAGCTGGCTGGTGTTTGCCTCTTGCTTCAGCAGGCTAGACCGCCAGAGCTTGCTTGGTTTGCTGTGATTTTCATAGTTGGAGAATCAATGGCACTGTGTTGTCTAGGTTACTTCTACAGATCTCTGCCTCGAGGATTGTGGAGGCTTCCCTGCAGCATGCTGTAGTCTAACTCTAGGTCCTTGTGATCTGCATGTGTAACACTAAGTGCTGTGCTGGCCTGAAAGGGTTCTGACTTGAACTCTACGAGTGCAATTCCCAGTCCCACTGGGAAAGGCTTCCTAAGGTAATGTGGCTTAGTTTTCTGCTGGAGCCACTGGGCCATGGTCTCGGGTTTCCTCCTGGAAGAGGCTGTGGATAGCCCTTGAGTGGATTCCTTAAGAATTGCCCTAACATGCTTGAGATGGGCTGGATCATGAACTGATCTGTGGAAGTAGCTGAACTCGTATGTTTATGCAACTTTGCTACTGGGCTTTTTGTTCAGATTTGTGGTGGGTTCTGCTAACAGCTGCTCCACACAGTCCTTACCACTAACCAAGGAGAGGCCAGGTACTTGCACTGCAGAGGAAGAGCCTTAACACTAGTGTCTGAAAGCTCCCTAAGCAAAGTTTGCTGTGCACAAACACTTAAGCTTCTCTTAAAAAAATTAGTGTCTCCTTCTGTCTCATGCAGATAAGTCTTGTGATTCCAAACTCCACTTTGGATTTGCCTCTCTGCTTGGTGGCTTGTTCTGCATCTGCACCCTGCATTCATGCTCTCGTCATCTTGCTCTGAATTCCAGTACCTTTTTCCAGTTACTGTGCACAGGGCATCCCTGGGAACGAGTGCTGTAAAGACGCTGAAGCTTGACAGCAGCAGCAGCCCCCCAGTTATGCTGCACTTGCTCCTAAACAAAGCTCCCTCTGTTTGACCCGATGTGCCAGACACTGCTGTGCTCTGAGGGGCTGCCCTTTCAATGTCTGGGTGTAGCTGGGAGTATGTTGTTCTCATCTGCATATCTTGTGTAGAGCCATAAAGCTCCTTTTGTATTTCTCTTGCCTCTTGCTTGAGCATGATGTCACCTTTTTTAAGGAAAACAATTCTTGTATAAATTGAATGGAACGGCTGGTGCTTTTGAGAAATGAGTTTCTAGTGACCACTTGCTGCTTTAGAGTAACTGTTCCAATGTTGCCTTGAAACCAGTGTAACCATCATCACCCATGCTGGAATACAGACTTCATTAATATGCTGGATTTTTCCCTTTGGGTGTCTTATTGGCTCACAGATGTGAATTGCAGCTCTGCAAATAGTGCCTTGGTGGACAGCATGTTCTGTAGGGTCAAATGGGAGGCTGGGGTTTGCAGCAGGAAGTCCTTGAGCTGTGCCTGCTTCATTCAGCCTGGCTAAAGACACTCCTCACACCTGCCTGCTCTGTAGTGTTCACTGGCATTGGTTGCCAAATGCTGGCTTGCAGTGGGAAGTCACCACACCTGATAGTCACTGGGTCACTGGCAGGGTGTAAAAGCTAATAAATATCAAGTGAGCTCTGGCTGGTTTCCAGTTGTACAGGACTGGTTGGGTGTGAGGTGCTGCCTGTGTTGGGGGGGGATGTATGGCCCCTTGCTTCAGGAATGAGAATGCACTGCAGCAGGGCTGTGGGCATCTGAGCCAGGGAATCTCTGTGTTGCAGAGTCCTCCTCTCCCCATGCAGGGGTTGAGGGTGATGGGATCTTCCTGGGAGTGTGGCATGGAGCTTTACACTGAGCACTGCAGCTGGCAGCAGACTGCAAACACTTGACATGTGCCACTGCTGATCTGAGTCTGTTGCTAGTTGCTCTGGTATCATAAACACTGATCAGCCTCTCGTAACTGTATGTGCTGCCTTGTGGTGGCTTGTCAAATATTTTTTCCTTTCTGGATTGGTTCATCTGCCACAGTGCCCGAAGAGCCCTTCATGAACAGAGTTTTGACGAAATGGGACACCTCCCGTGGTTTCCTCAGGTTTGTGTCACTCCATTCTCCACACAAATGGCACTAGCAGTAAAGATAGTCCAGATATGCTGAACTGCCCTAGCCTGTTTTCACTCTTGTCTTCTGTGTCAGGGCTGTCCACTGTCTGCTGGGTCTGGGTGATGAAGGAGGGAGCATTCCCACAAGGAATTTTAAAGGGTAATAGCTTGGAAAGATCTGGCAGATGGTGGTCTGACTCTTCTGGGGTATGGGGCAATAACTGTGCCCTGTAAGCACAAAGCAAGAACCCATAACTCCTCAGTAACCAAACCTGCAGCTGGAGTAGGGGGTCTAGATCCTGCGGGAGGGGCAAGGTTTCTGTCACAAGTGTTCAGGTGTGTGGAGGCTTCCAGCCCAGTGCTCAGTTGCCAGCTCTTACCACGTGGGAGGTGGTACCTTGCCCTTATGAAATGGCCTCCCTCCTCATGGGGAGGTCCTGTAGGCTGTGGGTTTATTACTGGCTCACACTGTGTGGAGCTGGTTGCTGTGCTGTTGCACAGTGGTGTTGCAAGTGATGTTATCGAAGGCTGGGCTGTGGCAGGCCCTTTCCCTGCTTGTTGTAATGGAACTCCATGCTGCAGGGTGGGTGGGTGATGCAACTTCTGCCCTGGGAGGTTTTGAGAGGCTTCTGGTCTGGCTGGATTGCTAGGCTTGTGCAGGCTGGTTACTGTTAGCTGGGCTGTTGACTCGGGATTGCTGCAAATGCAGATTAGCTGACCAGAAGGCCCAGGTCCTGGAGTTCCGGTTGCAAGGATGGCTGGTAAGGCTGCCCTGCAGGCTGGGTGGAGAAGGGAGCAGGCCAAACACTGGAGCTAGCCCCAGCAGACCTGGGCAAGTGTTCCATGTTGAGGAGGTGTTCCTGAAGTCTAGGAAGGGGCATGCCAATTACTTCAGTCAATCTGTCCCCTCATGTGGGTAGATCATCAGGTCCCCATCCATAATCAGTACTGCTTGCTTGAAGGCAGCGAGCTGTTGCACCAGCCTACAGCCATTAGTACTTCTGACAGCAGTTCACTCCTATCCTTTGCTACTCTGGAGACCCAGGACCAGCCCTGATCACCTGGGGCTGGAGACTGGCATCAGGGTACCCAGACTGCTTGCTCAGAGACAGCATGGAGGCCAGAGAGCGAGTCCGTAGCAGCAGTGGTAGCTGATGTTGCAAGGTAGGCTCTGATGTAGGCCAGGATGGGGTGTACCTGTCCCCCATACCACAACTTCCCTCAACTTCTAGTTAGATTGTGGTGGGACAGAAATTGTTGGCTTCTCTGGCTGTTGCTTGGTCCCTTGAAGGCTGTAAAGGGACAATCAATCAACTTTACTACCCTCTGTCCTGCGGAGTGAGGTGCAGCTAGAGCAGGTGCTGAGGGCTGAGAGGAGCTGAGGGTAGTTGGGTGAAGGTGAGCTTTCCTCCTTGCATGTGGCTGTCACAATGGAGGGACTGGGCTGAGACTCTCTGGAGAGGGGGACATGCTTCAGCTGCTCCATGTGAACAGCTTGACTTGGTGTGTCCTGGATCTTACCTGGCCAGGTCTTGTTCAAGAGCAAAATATTCCTAGGTTGAAAGCAATGAGGAATGGTGTAGATCCCCTTCAGAGGGTGCCCTAGATTACTAGGGGTTTTGCAGTACAAGGATTTGGGAAGGCTAAGGCCACCAAGAATTGCTGTGCTTTATGCTCGCTCATCATGCAGAGGCAGCATGTTGTATGTATTGCTACAGTTTGCAATGATTAGTTCTGCCAGGCTGGAAGCTGTTGTGTAAGGATTTTTCACTGCCTGGAATTCCCCCAAATTCAGGAATTGGAGTTGTCAGGCTGGGAGGACCCTGCCTGTGTAGAGATGGGCAGAGACAGATGCTGAACCAGTTCTCTGCAGTGGCTGGTTCTGGCTGACAGGCTGCAGCCCCAAGAGGTGACCTGTCCTGGGAGAGGATCCGGCTGGTTCTCCCTTTCCCTGGAGCTGCTGATGAATACATGTGCTTGGTACCAGCCTTGGGGACAAGCATGGCTGCTAGGGCCTTGTGAGGCTGTAAGGACAGGGACTGAGTGGGAGGTGAAGGCTGTCAGATGCAGTGGCAGTTTGTGCCCTGCTCATTTAGTTGTTCTGGGGCAGATGTAAAATAGGAGCCTGTGCTCCATAACTTCCTCTGTCCTGTACCTGAAGCAGATACTGCCTTCAGTCCTTGTCTAGATGTGGTGGGTTGTTAGTGTGGCACAAAGGCATGTCCTTGGAGGGGTGTCCTCCAGGTCAGGTATGAGATGCTGTCATTCTCAGTTCTTCTGGTGTCCCTGTCCTACTGTTAAAAACCCCATCAATCCCTCTGCTGTGTGGTGTGACTCACTCTGGAAGGTGCTTCTGGTTCAGCTGTGGTAGGACTACTTCTTTCTGCACAGTGCTCCACAGGCTTAAAGTACATCCTAAGTCTCGCTCCTTACCTGGGTACAGCCCAGTCCAGCCTGCAGGCTCATCTTCTGGTGTTCTTCTCTTCCTTTCTTTGCCTTCGCAAGCCCTCGGCAGCACTTCCATTTCTGCCCGCACGTGGTTTTCTCTGTGATCATCCTGAGCTGAAATAAAAGTTAGAGTAAGACAAACCTTTGTTCTCCCTGGCTTCATCTGTGTAATAGCCTAGACTTGATCCTCAGAGGCACGTGTTATGGAGACAGCTTATTTGATGTGCTCATCTTGGTACTCTACTAACCTTCCCTTTCTCTCTTTTTCTCTCTTCCTCTTGTTTCCCCTAATCCTGTTGCTGCTGCAGAGCGCCTGTACAGCCAGCTTGAGAAAAACCGCCTGCTCTCTAATGAGCTGAAGTTAACGCTGCATGATCTGTGTGACTGAGAAGGGGGCCCACTAATACCATTAAACAAGCTTATTGCGACCACCAATGCTGTGGACCACAGTGAAATCTGATCATTCTTAAGACTGGCAGACTTGCAAATTTTATGCAATTGCTGCTATTTAAAGGGGCACTTGAATTTATCCTCTAATTTATTTAAGAGTTGGTTGTTGTTTTTTTTTTTTTTTAAAGGTAACCTCTGTTCTTGGTGAAGTAACCCTCAGACTTGGCTGTTTTTTGAGCAGTCTTGTTCACTTGTCCAGGGGGTCCTGCCTGGCTCCTCCATGGAACCAGAATGGCTGCACCCACTAAGAGAGGGGTGGGGTGAAGTTAGGCTTATGTCTGCTAAAAGATGCCTGTCAAGTGCTATGACTTAATTTACTGTTAGCTGAATGACTGTAGGATTTCCTGCTGCATGGAATGATGGCTTCTAACAATAAATGACTGACCTTGTGGTCTGTAAGACACTGCATACCTGTAGTACTTTCCTATATGGTTGAGTCCTAGCCTAGAAGGTTTGGGGGAAGCAGTCATTCCTGGGGCCTGACCCCAGTGCAGCTGCAGAGCCCCAGAACAGGTTGGGAAAGCTCATGGGCCTCTTGAAAACAAGTCCCAAAATCCACAGCATGAGGCTGTGTCTTGAGTGCCTGCAGGCACAAATCTCTAAAAGCTGCCGTTGCTAGTGCTCTAGGAAGGCTGCTTCTTGCTCTGTGCACAGTTTCTGACCCTGGGGAGGTTGGGGAGTGGCTTTGAGAAACTGCCTGTACCTAAAGGACATCTTTCTACAGCCTGTCTGTCCTGTGTCCCAGCGTGTGGATCTCTTCAGTGATAAGGGTGGGCTCACCTTTGGAGTAAAGCCTACCTAGAGCACTAGTTGCTGATCTGAGCTCTCCTCCTGGCTTAAGGAACATGTGAGAATTGACAGTGCAGCTGCCTGTAGTCTCGAGCAAAGTTGTAGCACCCTTGGTCCTACTTGCTCCCTGCCTGCCCTTCACTGAAAACAGCCTTTTCCCTGCTGTTCTTGAGGCGTGGTTGTCTGCTCCCTGCTGCTAGGTAGTTACGGTCTTGGTGACCAGCTTGGCATCTCTGTCCTGTGCTTGGGGGATGGGGGCCACAACCAGCTGTAATTCCAGGGGGTGATTTCTAAGTGTGTTTTACCTCCACATTGCTCTTGGGTGCCTTGCTGGGCACAGGGGTCTGCTGTCTGGAAGTGTTGAAGGCCTGGGGCTAGCTACAGTCAGAGGCACCTGCATGCAAAACACGGCCTAGAGCACTGGGTAAAAGTACATCGTGACTGTGCCAACTGGGAGCACCGGCAATGCGAGAGGCAAGGGCTACAAATGAGCCAGGTAACTTCAGAGCTTCTAGCTGCACCCAGCCAGGCACCCCCACTCTAAGGACTTGCTGTGGCAGCGTGCTGGGAAGGGGCTAGTGCAAGCTTTCTTTGGTGAAGGTTTCTCTGTTGTCTGAAGCTGACTTATAACTCTTGCTTCCTGCCAGATAAACTGAAATCCACCAAAGAGGAGCATCTCTGCACGCAAAGAATGCTGGACCAGACCCTGCTAGACCTGAACGAGATGTAATGGATCCCTGCTACTGCCTCCGCCACATGATGCCTGGGGGGGGCAGCCCAGCTGCTGCTGACCTCTAACCCTTGGGGACCAGAGTTTACTTTCTGTTGCCAACTTGACCAAACAACAAATCTTGTCCTTCGCCTCAGGGTTAAAGGCCATCAGGTTGGGCAGAGCTTCAAACAGCATTATTAAGGGAAATAAACAATGCAATAATGTTTGGGGAGCATGTTTGAGATGTATACATTTTGTAACTACCTTTTTTTGTAGCAACCATTGTAAACATTCCAAATAACTTGTGAGAGGCTGGTGAGCTATACTTTAAAGCTCTTGGCTTTAAAATTGGGTATTAACCTTCTGTTACTCAGCTTTGGACCACCCTGCTTTGGCAGGGGAGGAAGGAGGGTGTGATGGTTCTGGCTGTGGCCACTGAATCAAAGTAGCTGGGCTAGGGATGGCAGCCTGTTGGGAAGTCTTCCTTTCCAGGAGCTGTTTGCCAAAAGAGCAGTTCAGTTTCTCAGCTTTAAGATAACTCTGTGTTGTGGAGAAGCAACTTGGGTGAGACTTTTTTTTTTTTTAAGCCAACCCTGTTATCTGACCAATTGAACCTTTGCAGGGGTTGTTTCCCTCCCCCCCCCCCCCCCCCCCCCATGCCACTGTTGGCCACTCCCGTTCCTGGTAGGCTTAGAGAAGCCATGGCCCCTCTAACCCATTGCTACACAGGGGTTGAATTTGCCTTCACTAAGTGCTGATGCACCAAGCTTTATCGCTCATTGCTGGGTTACACTTAACAGCTTAAGTACAACAGCCTTGCTTTCTTGGAGAAGTTTTTTTTGCCTACCCTGAGGGAGGGAACCAAGGCCTTCCCTCCTGGCCAGGAGTGCTCTTAGTGTCTTAATAAGGTACAAGCCATCTTGCTGTGCATTGCTGATGTGTAGTTGTTGTGAGGCGTGAGTGTGGAGATGTGTCAAGCTCGCGGTGTGTAGCTTGTGGTTTGAGCATGCTGCTTGGTTGTAGCAGTTCTAGGGGCCAATCTGGAGAAAAGGAACCCTATCAAAGTGTTTTGATACTAAATTGAAAAATTGTCTTACTGTCTTTTGAAATAAAAACCAATCCCTCCACACTGCTGTCTGGCTGGAGAGCTTTACTGTGTGTGTGCCACCTCGTTTGGGCCTGTGGGGGATGAGGGTGGGTCTGAAGACCAGGGCCTGTACCCGTCCTTCAGGGAAGAGACGGGGGGGCGGGGAGATGTAAGGCCAGACTCGCCTGCTTCCTCCCGGACCCAGAGCGCAAAAGCGGGCCGGCGGGGGTCAGTCCTCCCCGTTTTACCTCAGCCTTCCGGCGGGAGCCGCTGCTTCCCCGGGGCGCATCCGCGGTAGCCCCCGCCGTGAACCGGAAAGCGGCAGCGCCGGCGGCGAGGCACGCGCTGCGCCTGGGCGGGAGCGAGGAGGTCTCGCGCATGCGCAGGGCGGCGGCATGCCGCAAGGCGGGAAGGGAGCTCAGCTGTCAGCGCCGTTGTGGCTCCGGTCTGACAGGACGAGGAGGACTTGGCTGTCTGCTCTCCTCTTCTTCCTCCTGTTCTTGGTGGCGCCTGCCTTCGCCTTTAAGCTAAACGTGCCCAAAGTGTTGCTGCCCTTCAGCCGGGAGCTCTGGGTTCCCTGAGGGGGGCTTTTACTCCTGGTGAGTGGGTAGTGGTATGGGGAAGCAGGGGCCGTTGCTCCTGGTGAAAAAGGGAGTGGTGTTGAGGGGACAAAAAAAGGCTATGGGGCGTGTTGAGGAGGTGGGAACCCTCTGGTAACAGGGCTAGAGAAAGAAGGGACTACGGGAGGATGTATGGAGGAGGGGTCAGAGGTTTGTTTTCCTGGGCTAGAGAAAGGTTTGGAGAGCACAAGGGGCTGTCCTGAAAAAAAAAGCAAACCCCTGAGCTCAGGATCTTCCTGTGGGGTGGTGGGAATGGTTGTGCTGTGTGCTTGCAAGACAGAAGGCTCTCATTTAGAAGCACTGTAGTCCAAGGAGTCTCTGCAATCTGACACGGGAGCAGGTGACTGAGGGCATGTTGTCCATCTGCTGGCACTTAGCTGTGGGATGCCAGTTTGTGTAGTCAGAGCAGGGTTGGTTTGTTTTCTGGGCTCTTATTGTTGGCTGGTCTCAACATCAAAACTTGGAGAAGAGGGACCATCAACTGTTGGCCTATGCACCTTTGGAACTTGATAGGTGAGCTGTTGTGAGCAAGCTCTGCACAGCACTGAGAAAATGCATTGAAGCAGGTTATTACAGGAATAAATACGAAAAAAGGGTATGTTTTAATGACAATATAAACCTGCATTTATTTAAGCACTCTGCCACTTTTTGGTTTTAAGCCCGTTTAAGGATACATCTGTGAGCCGAAGGGGGCGGAAACATTTTCCTGTCTTTTATTCAGGCCTTCCTCACATTATGATACAGTCACTGTTGAGCCCATTTATGAGGATAGTGCAATTTGTTCCCAAAAAAGCTTTGGTGTCTGCTCAGTCTTCACAAGCCAGAAAGTTAAGCAGTGTTGTGACGGCTGAGGAACGTGGTAGGTAGAAAAGTAAAAATTCATAGAATGGAGGATTGTACACATAGATGTAAATTTTTAGAAAGAAGAACAATTTTATTATTCTGTTGAAAAAGCTATGGTTTATGACAGCATATTATTCAGGCTCTCTGGGACAGGAAGCCACCTATTTGTTATTTATTATTTTTACTTGTACTAGCTTTTCACAACTTTTGAAGCCAGTGTGAGCTTATAGATGCTGAATTAAGGATTATTTTTTCTCTCTAGTGACAGGCCATTTACTCCATTGTGATGTCATTGTTGATATGAGAGACAGTATTGAAATTATCTCCTGAACTTGAGAACTCTATGTGGACAATTATCCCCTGGAGTTGGCTGTGAGAGCTCTGGACATTGAAGGTATTACTTGTGATATAAGCTCTTCTGCTATAATTCCAAAATTGTAACTCATCCTCCTGAGAAATAAATGCTTCTTGTTTTCTTCATATTTAAAGGGAAAGGAGGTTCGGTTTTACTATGTCAGTTAGCAAGAATCCATGAGTTTTAGTCTCTGTGTGAATTCTCCTTTCTGTAGATGATTATCAGATTCCTGTAATTTGTCAAGTGACCTTTTTGCAGAACTAGAACTTCCCGTTGAACATTATGAGCTTGAACTTCGTGACCAAGTTATTGTGCCTGGTGGGTCTGACCTTCTTCCAGTGGCCTGGAGGTGAAGACAGCCGCTGTGAGAGCAGTGCAGTTGGGACAGAGCAATCTTGTCTTTGTTTGTGAGAGTGTCCTTCTAAATAGAGTTCCACCTAGATCTTATGTCCCGATACATGACCGTCCTCTTTCCCAAGTATGGCCAACCTGATTTGTAGTAAAAGAGACTGTGAGTAAAAGAGATTGTAAAGGCAAACAGGAAATTTTGGGGTCTGATTCTGAGTTTCTCTGAGTGCTTTAACTTCTCAGAGTAGTTCCTTGGGCTCTTTGAGGGCCTCCATATTCTCTTTTAATAAAATGAAAATTGTGAAAGAATTCTTCTACAAGAACAAAGATGTTCACGTGAGCTGCATCTGGTCTTCCTAATTGCACTATCTATGTTGTAGAAGCTGGATTTTTAGGTAGTAAGAAAATGAAAGCTTGATTGTAAAGCTCTTACATTTCTTTTTTTTTTTTGATCAGGAACATACTTCTTTAAAATATAATTGCATCCATTATGTTGGCAGTGGGCATCTAAATTTTAAGGCAAAAGTAGACTGCATCTTTTCAAGTGCACTGATTTGAAAATTGAAGTTGGCTTTTCTCTGTTTGATGGGCTGCTCTCTAAATCAGAGTAATTAACTAAACTAAAGATTAACAACAGAGAATGGGCCTTGGAGCTTGGAAAGTGTGTGTCATGATTGCCTTTGTGCCACTTTTGTGCTGCTTGCTGAACTATTTTTGTTGGAGAGTGTTTGGATCCAAGAATTAGTTTTTACATGATACTGGGTGCTTAGGAGGATGAATAATGAGAGCTTTTCTGCTTTAGTCACTAACTCCTATCCAGAAAAGTTTCACAGTGACCATAAGTGTTGGCTGCCTCATGGCTGTCCTTCTCCATTTTGCACTGGAGTCTGTTTATTGGCAGCAGAAAGATGTCTCTAACAGAAATTGGCATCACTGGCACTTTCATTGCGCTAGGACAAAGCGTAATGCAAACTTCAGGTTTCCAAGCCAATTTAGGAGAGCTTCTGTTATTAATCTGCAGTTAATAACTTTTGATAATAGAGTTGCGTTTCTTAATGAAAAATGCGTTACCGCCATTAGTTGCTGTTGATGGTTCTTGGGAGCAAACCACATGTGTTATTTCAGGTTTCACTGTCTACCTAGGAGACAGGTGGCTACTGGAAGTGAAGCAAGAGTGTGATTACTGTAGAAGTTTATGACACAGACAGCACTAAAGTGTATTTATCTGATGCGAATATGTGTTTAGTTAACAATGCGCAGCTGCCAAAGGGAGTGCCATGATGAATTGTGTTACAGATATTTAGCACTATTAAGGAAACGAGAGAGAGAAAAGGAAATTAACCCTTGCTGTGTTATCTCAGTCTCTCCCTCAGTCTCTCTCTCACACACATTTCTATTCACATTTCATCCATACCAATCTTCTTACTGTGTTACAAACCTCTACAGAAATGCGCAGTTCTGTGAGCGTTTGTGGAAAGTGCATTGGGTTTTCCTTGGAAGGGGACAAAATTTTCACTGATCTCTGGCAATTTGCAGAACCTGAGCATAACTCACTGTTTTTCTAAGGAGTATTTTGAAGAGCTCCTGTCATCTTGTAATAAGTCTTATCATATACTTCAGGTCCTGAAAGATGGCATCACAGGGATAAAAGCTGAACTGTTTTCTGTTCTTCTACAGGTAAGAGGCAAAGGTGGTAGTAATTTTCTTCAGATTTTTTTTTTCTAGTCCCTCAGGTCATATAATAATACTCCTGTTCACACCTATGTGAAAGGAACTGCTTTGTGGTTCAAGTTATGCCATATTTCTCCTGCAAGAGCAAGTTACTCTCTGCAAGGTTTTTGTAGACAGCCTTCTGCAGTTTCTACAGTTGTGAGCAGTCCAAGAGGCAAATCTGACTCCCTCAGAAATGTGAGAAACCAGGCACTTTGATAGAAAAGCTGGGAAAAAATGAATTACAGCAGTGACTTGAACTTTCTGCTCTGGCGTCAGAGCAGCAGCAGCTCTCACCTGAGCTGTGTGCAGCATGGCTTGTTCTTACCTAGACCATGTGCAGGGCCATGGCACACTTGCTCTTCGCCAGGTAGTGTTCCTGCAAACAATTTCCAGACAAAGTTTTGGAATGAGGGTGTTCCAGGGACCATTCTCCATAGGTGAATTGGATGTAGTTTTTGAAGTTGATGAGTTTCAAAGCAGAAGCAAGTTATTGCATGGCAACTGGCCTCAGCACCTGGGAATGTAAATTGAATGTGTTCAGGAACTAATATAAACGTAGCCACAGAATCGTCTCTAATTTTATACAGAGCAAAATATTTTGGAGGCAATCCAGCGTGTTACAGTGACATTTTGATTACCTCAAAAAAGAAGCAACTGGTTTCAGATATGTGTTTTTTAAGCTTATATTCTAAGCAATCAGTACAAATCATCTTTGCAGGATTTCAGACCTGTTCAGGCTTGTATAAAGTGTCTAGTTCTGTTACCTGTCAGTGCTAATGGTTAAAAGTGCAAGCTTTCTCCTTTTGATGGTAAGCTACTTTGCTTGAAAGATTGCTTCCTTTTTTCCCCTTTTTTTAGGGTGGCTCTGAGGCTTACTTCCCCATACTAGTCAGCCATGAGCAGGAGGTGAAGATTTACCTTCTCATCAAGCTGTCGCCTTCTTTCCTTGCATTTCCACAACATCCCATGGAAGTCTTGTATCGATATAAACTTCAGGTGAAGTAGACTACGGATAGAAACATGATGAAGGCCCTGGTGAGAGAGCCTCTTCCAGAAGAAAAGTTAGTTAAAACATCTAGCCAGTAGGGGCTCAGTGAGAATCCTGAGCACTGAACGGGCCAAAACCCTCTCATTTTCCTTCTTTAGACTTGTAACAATTCTACTCTCATACTGCTCTTTGTTTAGCTCCCTCCAGCAAACCCCATTTTTTGGTGATAGAGTCATGTACTCTTTTCCTTTCTCCAGAGATGCCATGCTCCTATCCTCAGGTGTTCTTTCCCCCCCGTGCTTTACCTCTATCTTCCTCTCTCATATCTTTTTGTTGCCTGGTTCTTTGGTTACATGCCTGTATTCCCAGGTCATTTGCTGTTCTCACTTGGCTGTGCATCATTAAAGTTCACTGGATTTTTGAACTGTTGACAGTGTTGTCTAAGTGTAAGAAGAGGCAACAGAGATGCATTTTTTCCTTGCTCTTTCACAAGCTTTGGTCCTTAGTTACCTGGGGTAAATGGTCTCCCTGTGTCTTGGCTGGGAAAATGGAGTTTATTTGGTTTTACTTGAGTTGTACAATAAGTCTATGTGTTTTTCATTTTACTTCCGACAGTCCATTGTGAGACATAATAGAAGTTTGAAAAGTACTTTGAGAGCCTCAGCTGAAAAAGTTACAGGAGTGCTGCTGCTAATTTTGGTTGGATTTTTGTCTGTTTTTTTTTATATTGTTACTCCACAGCTAAGCTAGTACTGGTCGCTTTGTTACAGGAAATAATCCTCTGGTGAATTATGTGGACTGAGCCCAGTGAAGCTTTTCTTATGTCAGATCAATGTAGTTGCCTACCAACGATCAACAAAGTTTATTTGAGCAATGGCTTTTGGGCTTTTCAGTAGAATGTCTCCATTCTTTAAATTTAACTTCTCTGTAATAGACACAAATGTGTATTTTCTTCAGTTACTATGTCTTTGCCTCTTTGCTTTTGTTATAGGAGATCCCTTTGCAGCCTGGATTTTTAAGCCTGGAAATGGATAATCTCTGGGATTCCTGGGACCAGTTACAGCCTACCTGTGTGTGTCTGACATGCATGAGTTGGAGGTGGATCTCACTGATAAGGTGATGGATGCAATCTTAGGGACTGCATTTCTAAAACCTAATGTGGTAGCATATTTCCCTGAGAGGAGTCAACACCAAGGCAGATCTTAGGATTAAGCATCCAGGACATGGATATAAGACCTCAAGGAAGAATGTATGAAGCACTCTCTTCCTTCCTCCTCTCCCCTTCTCTTTTTAATCTAGCTTGAGATTGGCAAGTCTCTTGTCATTACTGTTCGAGTCCTGGGTTTTCAGCAACTTCCCTTGCAGAGTAAATACTTCAAATATGTGAGGCTGAAGCTGCAAACAGCATCTCCTATCGTTACACTTGTGAGAGCATTACAGTTGGCAGGTCGGAGCACTCTTTAATTATGAACTGGTAATGTTCACCTTGAAAAAAACAGAACTGATAATTACAGAAGAAAAGTTATTTATGATGCCCTGGTTATTTGCTGGCTTACTGTGTAAATGTTGGTAGAGTGCATGAAAGGTGTCAGGGCTGTAATTGCCAGCTTTAGCAGCGAGTTCTCAGGATAATCTACATCCTTTTGTAAAACGTTAATGAGTTACACTTTAGGGATAACTTTTTTGGCAGGCTGTGGCAATTAACTCATGTTTGTAAAGCTCTTTGAGATTCCTGGTTGCAGGACTAAAATATTTTTTCATCTCTCACTGCCTATGTTTCTTTGTTACTACATGGGCATACGAAACAGTGATATATCTCTGCATTAATTCAGACCTGGTAGCTCAGGCCATAAATTTTCTTTTGACAGAGAAACTGATTCCCTCACACTTACTGTATTTATTAGATGATATTTTGCCACTTGGAGCTCTATGTGTCCTATTGGGACTATAGATATCTCAAAATTCAAGCCTCAATAGTATAGCAGTCACAACTTGCATATTGGTTTCTGCCTGAGTTCTCTCTTAGTTATTGTACAGGAAGTGAACGGTGAAGTCATGGTAAGGTGTATTCACAGGCAAATGGAATAAGTGGGAGAATAGTCTGAATTGTATGTACTTTAAGCTGTTGCTGTTGGCCAGGCAACTGGTAGCTGTGGCCTGGGACAAGATGGGAAGAAGATTTACTTCTGCTCCTTGGAAAGTTGAGCTAAGAGTGCACAGCTTTTAAATCTGCTCACCTTTGAGTGTTTCTGACCCACCATAGAATCCTTTTTTTTTTCAAAGTTCTTTAAGAAAAAAGAAAAATAAAAATCCCACTTATGATGATATTCTGAAGCCTTGATGTTTTATGTCTCTTCAATTCATATAAAAAAAGGATCTTATAAATAATTGTTGTCAGGGTCCATTTATACCATTTCTGTATTTTGGCAAAGTATCTGTTGTTTTCTCCTAGTCCTTTCATTCAGAAGGCAGAATCCCTTCCTTCACTAGAAATCTCTGTACTCTGTAATAAAACTGTGCCAAGATCTCCTTAGACAGGCTCATGTGATTCAACATTAACATTCCTAGTGTATAGTGATATTTACAAAAAAGAAGTGTGTATAACATTTTACAGCAGAATATTTTCCCTTTTACCAGGTCTTTCCTCCATTTAAACTGATTCCAAAGAAAATCACTCTTATTCCACACAATATGATGCAGGTGAGCGTTATTTCTTCTGAACAAATTAGAATTTTTCACTCCTCTTCACCTATTGCTTCCTTTCCCCCTCGGTACTGGTCTATTTCAGGAGAGGTGCATGACAGGCAACTGGAGACATTAATTCCCTAAACTCCAGGGTTTAGATTCACTAATATATGTATGGGTTTTTTGCTCAGTGAACAGCTTGTGTTGTATTGATGATAAATAAGGTAATGTCAGAAGGTGGCCCCAGCCACAGTCCATCATCCATTTCTGTCACTAACTGCTCCATTGCTGAGGTTAACTGACTTGGACAAGTAATGGCAAGGACAGTTGGAACAGCTGTGATGGAGGGTGCTATCCAGGTGATTAGTGAAGACACAGGAAAAGTTACTGTTTTTTCACAGGTATCTTTCCATTATATTCTTTTCTGTCTCATCCTTTCCCTTCTGCTTGGAAAGAATGTTAATGGTTTGTCTTGGTTGCCTTGACCTTGAAAAGCTGGCCTTGGAAAAGACTTCCATTAATGGCATATTTGATATTGTATTTTACTGTGACAGCTAAGGGGAAGAGGTAATTGTAAAACTGCTGTTTCAGTTTAACTTGTTTCCTGCTGTAAACAAGAGAGGAGGCCATTACAACTTGGGTGGAAAGCTGCTATTTCTCCATGTGTTTTTCTTTTTTCTTGCTTTCTGGCGCCCCCAGGGGGATATTGTTAAAGGCAATATTCAATCTGTGAGAGAAGTCAACAGGAATCAAAGAGGTTTAAAAGAAATTTAAGTGTCTTAGTTTTGTCAGCAGTTACCAGTGTTGTAGAAGTGACAGTTTGGAAATAGTAAGCCAGCGTGGCACAATATAACCACCTACTTGGCAGCTCCAGGAGATGTGGTAGCTAAACCTTCCCCACTTGGCAAAAGACAGCTGAGCCCTTAACCAGGATATGGACAGTTTGTTTCAGAATTAGAGCTATAGACCACTTCAGGGTGTTTAGTTTCCTTAGATGTTAGAAGCTTAGTTGTTTTATTTTTGCAGGATCAGGTGGAATTAGAAGTAATTTAGTTAAAAGCAACAAGAATTCATGTACCTGCCACAAAACTTGAAACAGCTACTGAAGTAGGTATTGTAGCCAATGCTGAAAACTTCTGTTGGCCAGAAGTCAAGGAGGATTCTTACCCTAATAGGCTTCTGTGAATTACTTACTGTGGGTTTAAACCCTGACGTACATGTTCACTTGAGTGATGCAATTAGTAAAAAGAACTTCTTCGGTTCTCTGATTCAGTAATTCTAGCATGCTAAAGTGAGTACTACTACTAGCTTATGAAACAGAAGCAACAGCCTTGTCCAGCTGTTCAGGCTGGCTGCTTTAGTCCTGTTTACCTGATGCAAGGAATTCAAGTGTTGTAATGGGCTAGAGCTCTGCACTTAACTGCAGTTAGGGTCTGGGAAATGACTGTGTGCAAGCATGCAGGGGAGGTTAGCAGAGAAGTACCATGGCGTATAGTGAGGAGGAACCTAGAACTGTGAAAACACAAATGCCTGGAGTAGCAGTACTGACCTCAGCTGTGTTTTAGCTCACAAATGCACAGTGCTTTCTGAAATGCTTTTGTAGACATTTGGAGTGCTGTCACATGCTTTGGGAATTGATTCATGGTGGGAAGAGAATAGGATCTTTTCACTGAAGTTAGTCATCTAATCGAGGGAGAAGAGGGTTTGTTTTGTATTTTAAAGGACCACACAGAATATACTACTGGTAATAAGTTTACGATGTGTGTATTATCATTTCCCTTTGACTCCCAATTTTTAAACATTTGTGTTCAGTTTCTAGTGGCATATAATGTGACCTAATTTGGGGCCGGATGGGATCCATCCAAGGGTATTGAGGGAGGTGGTGGAAGTACTCACCAAGCCACTTCCCATCAGTTATCAGCAGTCCTGGCTAACTGGGGAGGTCCCAGCTGACTGGAGGTTAGCAAATGTGACGCCCATCTACAAGAAGGGCTGGAAGGGCGATCTGGGGAGCTGTGGGCCTGTCAGTCTGACCTTGGTGCTGAGAAAGGTTGTGGAGCAGATCATCTTGAGTGCCATCACGTGGCATGTACAGGACAACCAGGTGATCAGGCCCAGTCAACATGGGTTTATGAAAGGCAGGTCCTGCTTGACTAACCTGATCTCCTTCTGTGACAAGGTGACCCATTTAGTGGATGAGGGAAAGGCCAGATAACGGCTTGGACGGGCGTACTCTTTGCTGGGTAAAAAACTGGCTGGATGGCTGGGCCCAAAGAGTGGTGGTGAATGGAGTTAACTCCGGTTGGCAGCTGGTCACAAGTGGTGTTCCCCAGGGCTCAGTACTGGGGCCAGTTCTGTTTAATATCTTTATCAATGATCTGGACGAGGGGATCAAGTGCACCCTCAGTAAGTTTGCAGAGGACACCAAGTTGGGCAGGAGTGTTGATCTGCTGGAGGGTAGGAAGGCTCCACAGAGGGATCTGGACAGGCTGGATAAATGAGGCCAATTGTATGAGATTCAGCAAGGCTGAGTGCCGGGTCCTGCACTTGGGTCACAGCAACCCCATGCAGCACTACAGGCTTGGGGAAGAGTGGCTGAAAAGTTGCCTGGCAGAGAAAGACCTAGGGGTGTTGGTTCACAGCCGGCTGAATGTGAGTCAGCAGTGTGCCCAGGTGGCCAAGCAGGCCGATAGCATCCTGGCTTGTATCAGAAATCGCGTGGCCAGCAGGACTAGGGAAGTGATTGTCCCCGTGTACTCGTTACTGGTGAGGCCGCACCTCGAATACTGTGTTTAGTTTTGAGCCCCTCACTACAAGAAAGACATTGAGGTGCTGGAGTGCATCCAAAGAAGGGCAACAAAGCTGGTGAAGGGTCTAGAGAAGAAGTCTTATGAGGAGCAGCTGATGGAACTAGGGTTGTTTAGTCTGGAGAAAAGAAGGCTCAGGGGATATCTTAGTGCTTTTTACAACTATCTGAACAGAGGTTGTAGCGAGGTGGGTGTCAGTCTCTTTTCCCAAGTAAGAAGCAATAGGACACGAGGAAACAGCCTCAAGTTGCACTGGGGGATGTTTAGGTTGGATTTTAGGAAAAATTTCATCACCAAAAGGGTTGCAAACCATTGGAACAGGCTGCCAAGGGAAGTGGTTGAGTCATCATCCCTGGAGGTGTTTAAAATACATGCAGATGTGGCACTTAGGGACATGGTTTAGTGGTGGACTTGGCCATGCTAGGTTAATGATTGGACTCAATGATCTTAAAGGTCTTTGCCAATCTAAACGATTCTATGATTCTTGTGATTTGTCTGCTCTTTGTACAGGAGAATACAGGAAACGTAAGATGACTTCCAGTTTCTATGGTGACAATATTATTCCTTTACAGATGATGGTCTCCATGGTGGAGCTGAACAGCATGCTGACTCTGTTTTCCTTTGGTAATGCTAACCCTGAACTGATACTCCAGTGGTCAGTGAGCAAAAGAGATGTTGTAGACATTCTTCTTTGATGCATGGAGGTATGGAGCAAACCACCAAGAATGGGTTTGAGGCCCAGTGCTGTGGCTGAAAGCATCAGGAGATGGGGCAAGCAGCATTTAGGATTCCTAACTGAGCAGATGAGCCCTGAAGACTGTATGGCTCAAGTGCTATCTTCTCAGTTGGTTGTAGTTAGTATATGAAGTTAGAGTATCTCATGCTCTTTCCATCTTTTCTCTCTCAATCTTCTTCAAAACATTCAAGCCTTCACAGAAGATTTTGCATAAAACTTTTGACTCTGTAATGATATTGCTGTAATTTTCTTTACCTACTATATGTATGACCCAGATGGAGATGCTTGAAACTGTGCCATTAGAAACTTCCGTATGCTGTATGGAAAGCATCAAAGTCTGAACAGATGAAATCACATCTGTGCTAGAAGATCTCATTGTTTGGAACAGAATGCAAGAAAAGGGGGATTTTTCTGTTTCTACACATGGCACTTTATCCCCTTACTAAAACTAGCCACTTAATGCAGGACTGGTTGACCTGTAGTGACAGCTGTGCTGTATCTCTAACAGGTTTCTGTTCAGCTCCCATCAAAGAATAATGTCACTATGGTGGTGTATACAAAAGCAGCAGGTAGAACCAGTATTAAGGTAACATGACAGTGACTGAACACATCTGCTGGACAGTTTGAGGGAAACTGTACTGAACTATTGGATGAAGTGCAAATCCTGGTAAGTGCCGGGTCATGCTTGTTAGTGAGGTAGGTGTATTTCGAGTGGAAGAAACTTGCAGGCAGTATGCCTGGACAGGTGCAACCAAAAAGCTTCCTTCCAGGTGTACATGTTGGGCATGACTGCAAATTCTCAACTCAAGCTGTACACAAACAGGTAGACAGAGAAAGGAAAACCTGGAATGTAGAGACAGTTTATGATGTGTTTCTCTCCTGTTAGTGCATGAAGCTGTCTGTCAGCTTATTTTTCCCATATTCAGCATATTCAGTGGACTTCCTGCTACATGACAGAATTTGAGGCACACTCAGTGTGGTATGATTGCTGGAGGTGACTTAATTGATATGTCCCTCTCTTAAGGGAAAGTAAACCTCCAGGGTGGAATGCGGTGAATATACATGAAATCTGTTCCATAATAATTCCCTAAGCAACATGACCTGCAACCTTAGATGTCAGCAACACCAGGGGAGCTTGGTATGCTGAGTCTGAGAAACAACACGGAGGATGGAGCGGAGTGGAAGCACCACGGCCAGGCTCTGTGATATCACCACAGGGATGGGGAACTGGAACTACTGGAACAAGAATGGAAGGTCCCTGCATTGAATTGACTGAAGCAAGAAGGTGAAACAATGGGGTTCTGTCAACGCTATTGCCTTACTTCCCATTTATATCATAAGTGCCCAGTTCTGGAGTAGTGACACGCAAAATCACGTCCTCTGGGTGAACTTTGCTCATTATAATACCAAAACACACCTCCATCCCAAAAGCTACCCGCCTTCAAGGTGTGACCACCCCTCACTGAGCATGCGCTCTGAATTTTCTCTAGCATATACCTTTAAAAGTAACGTGAGGAGATTTTATACCAATCATAATAAAGGTATGTATGACTAGAGTCACTCAAGCTCCACCTAAAACTAAGAAAAATAGTATAAAATGGCTTAAGAGAGGAGGAATGTTGGGGAAGATACCATCATAGACCAGTCAGGAGGACATCGCTGACTTCTGGGATCAGTCGATGGGCTGAACCTCTCTTCCCCCCGCAAAGGGATGCCTGTTGGGTAAGATTCGAACCCTCGGTTATACCAAGTGCTTCCCCAGGAAACTTAGAAATCTCTATAGAGTTTTTCCATAATTTAACATTTTTGTAGTCGGCTGTGTTATTCGTATTCTTGTTATGTGAACATGCTTTG